ATGAAGGTACTAATAAAACATTTATATATAATACGGTTTAAGGCATTTGATAAAAGTTTGGTTAACAAAGTTTAAAATGATTGTATAGTTTTTAAGACAACTATTTTATAAAAGGAGGAGGATAGGGTATAGAGTTGCTAAAGAGAAGGGTTGAAGGGTTAGGGGTAGCTGGAGTGATCAGAATTGAAACAATAATGATCAAATTGACACAAGAAGAAAATTACAGGTACTTAAGTATAATTGCCATTAATTAAATTATACACTTATATATACCTATACAAACTATTATTTTAAGTGTAGAATAATATACATTACATTTATTAGTTATTTTTATAATTATGTTGTTGGTCCTTCTAGTTTGAGCAAAATTTCACTTTAGTTTTTGCAGTTTCAATTTGAACAATTTAAACTTTACACTTTCAGTTTTATCGCAATGTGGTCCCTCCATTACTTACTATTAGAATTATGAATAGAAAAAGATCACATGCAAAATTAGAGAATTCAAAAAAAAATTAAAGAGATTACCGATGTTAATTGTGCATAACAGAACTAATAGTATGAGGTTTCAATTATTCAAATTAAAACTATATACGCTTAAATTACGTGGACTAATGATGTATTCATATTCATTTTATGCATTATTACATAAATAATTACATGTTGATTGATCTTCTTTTTTTTTTGCAGATGCTGTAATGGGTATTTCAATTGCAATCTTGATAGTTCTATTTTATGTTCAAAGATTTGGGACTGATAAAGTGGGATATTCATTTGCGCCAATCATCATAGTGTGGTTCTTGTTCATAAGTGGGATAGGACTCTATAACTTGTTCAAGTATGATACTGGAGTCTTAAAGGCTTTCAATCCAAAATACATAGTTGATTACTTTAAAAGAAATGGCAAGAAAGGATGGGTATCTCTTGGTGGAGTTGTTCTCTGCATTACAGGTGAGATAAAATTTCACTATTGAAAAAAAAGAAAAAAATTGTTTTTCTGCAAAAAGGATTTGCGACAGCATGACAGCAGCAAATGAGAGGTCGCAAAATCTTTTTGCGTCAACGAAGCTGCCATTGCCAATTTTTATGATAGTTTTAGCCACAACAAAATAAGGGCAAATTGTAACTATTAGTCACTGCACTTCTTGGGTCAATTTGGTTTATATAGTTCTAATTTGTATTTGCTCCTTAATATCAGTCTAATTTTTAAATGAGCATTAAATGCATGAAACAGGGACAGAAGCCATGATAATCACATGATCTTTTTTGCAGATGCTGCAGTGGGCATTTCAATTGCGATCTTGATTGTTCTATTTTGTGTTCAAAGATTTGGGACTGATAAAGTGGGATATTCATTTGCACCAATCATCATGTTGTGGTTCTTGTTCATAAGTGGGATAGGACTCTATAACTTGTTCAAGTATGATACTGGAGTCTTAAAGGCTTTCAATCCAAAATACATAGTTGATTACTTTAAAAGAAATGGCAGGAAAGGATGGGTATCTCTTGGTGGAGTTGTTCTCTGCATTACAGGTGAGATAAAATTTCACTATTGAAAAAAAAAAATTTGTTTTTCTGCAAAAAGGATTTGCGACAGCATGACAGCAGCAAATGAGAGGTCGCAAAATCTTTTTGCGTCAACAAAGCTGCCATTGCCAATTTTTATGATAGTTTTAGCCACAAAATAAGGGCAAATTATAACTATTAGTCACTGCACTTCTTGAGTCAATTTAGTCCATATAGTTCTAATTTGTATTTGCTAATTTTTAAATGAGCATTAAATGCATGAAACAGGGACAGAAGCCATGTTTGCGGATCTAGGGCACTTCAATGTTCGAGCAGTCCGAGTAAGTAACAGTGCACTTAGTTCCATCTACTTTATTGATGTTCAATATAAGGTTTCATCTTAATTCTTATTCAACAAAGTTTATTTTACCGATAAAAATAAAAATAAAAATAAAAAAAACAATGCACACTCTGAATTTTACTATGAATGTATAGATTATAATGAGTTGGCATAATAATCTGGCTGAACCTCCCATTTGCTCATTAATCAGATCAGGCAAATCACCAATGCATAATTATAAGTCAAGTTGAATTTGAGACATATTAGGAAGGACTAATCCATAAACATCTACAAAATTCTTCAAGAAATTCGGGTCGAATTTTATACAGTTTCTTTCTCCCATCCCCAAAAATTGAGGGGAAATGGGATATGTTCAATATTAGATTTGCTGATGGAGTATTCTCTCTTTATCCAATTAGAAAATCAAAGGAAAAGTTTTTTTTTTTAAAAAAAAGAAAATTTCAATAAATATAAAAATAAAAGAAGGCAAATTCAGATATATTGCCATCTCATTCCAAGGAATGAATGCTAGCTTTAATTTAATTTAATTATATATGTATATATATTTTAAATTGAATTGCAGATCAGCTGTTCTGGAATTGTGTTTCCTACCTTACTAGCTGCCTACAGTGGACAATCCGCTTACCTTGTCAAATTCCCTGGCGACGTAGGCAATACTTTCTACGCCTCGATTCCAGGCAAGTTTAGAACCAAAATAATTCGCTGCGATTACTCAAAACTATCATCGCACTTAACTAATTATCATCATCGTTGTTATTATCACTATTTTTGTTTTTTCATCTATGCTTACCGGTCCACAGATCCATTGTACTGGCCAACTTTCATAATCGCTGTTGCTGCTGCCATTATTGCTAGCCAAGCTATGATCTCCGAAGCATTTGCAATTATCTCCCAATCCTTAAGTTTAGGTTGTTTCCCGAGGGTAAAAGTTGTCCACACTTCAGCTAAGTACGGGGGTCGAGTTTACACACCGGAGATTAACTACTTACTAATGATCACTTGTATTATCGTAACTGCTACCTTCAAGGCCACAACAAATATTGGCAATGCATATGGTAAGCTTGAAAATCTCATTTCTTAACTCTGGATATGGAAGCTTAGTTTTGGCATACTAAATCTAAAGATTGTTGCTATTCTATTCTTTCCTAAATATCATTTTTGATTAAGGAAAATGACACCTAACATTTTGGTGCAGGAATTGCCGTGGTTGCTGTAATGATCATCACAACTTGTATGCTGACTCTAATCATGCTTGTCATATGGAAGTCAAGCATATGGTGGATAGTTCTATTCTTCGTGATTTTTGGTTCGATTGAGGGCTTATACTTGTCATCCTTCTTATTCAAATTCATCGAGGGTGGTTACCTTCCACTAACCTTTTCAGTTGTTCTAATGTTGATCATGGGGGTGTGGCATTACGTACACAAAAAGAGATACATGTTTGAGCTCAACAACAAGGTTTCAAGTGGTTTCATAAGAGACTTGGCCTTGAATCCGAATATCAATAGGGTACCTGGGATTGGACCTTTATACTCTGAGCTTGTGCAGGGCATTCCTCCAATATTCCGCCGTTTCACCAATATGCCATCCATCCATTCAGTCTTGGTGTTTGTCTCTATCAAGTCCATTCCCATTAGTAAAGTGGACATGGAGGTGAGATTTTTATTCTGGCTGGTCGAACCAAGAGACTACCGCATGTTTGCTGTGTAGTGAGATATGCATATAATGATGTGATTGACGTAACAGAGGTGTTTGAAAGGCATCTGTTGGATCACTTGAAGGAGTACATTCGGCATGAATACTTCATTCGCGAAAGACAACAGCCTAATGAAGAAGTAGTTGAGCCAGTGAGCATTCAACATTCTACTGTGATAGTTAACAAGGATGCAAAAGTCAAAGGAGAATCACTACAACAACACAACCACCCAACAAGTCATTTGTCATCACCGAGATCTAGATCCATACAGTCATTCAATGTCGCTAATTCTCCCAACAGAATAATCTCTGGACACATCCAAGGTGCTGAAGAGGAGATGCAATTTGCGCAGAAAGCAATGGAAAATGGCGTTGTTTATCTCTTGGGGGAAGCAGAAGTCCGAGCTGAACAGAACTCATCCCTCTTCAAGAGGATTGTTGTCAACCATGCTTATAATTTCCTCAGGAAAAACTTTAGCCAAGGGGAGAAAGTATTAGGAATCCCTCCAAGTAAGCTTCTCAGGGTTGGAATGACATACGAGATATGACACACGGGATTTTGTTGAAAAATGTAATCCACACATTCATCTCATAGAAAAAAGTATGAAACTACGTTACAATTTTGCATAACAATCTGCAATATCATTTACAAGTACAAGATATATTAACTGGAATGTTCTATGTAGTCCTATATAAAGAATACTACGTGTCGATTATTCAAAGTGAAATAAGATCAATAATATAAAAATATTTTGGCATATTCAAGAAAGAATTCTTTTGTCCTAAGAGCTTCTTCTTATGTATCCTATAGTTGTACATGTCTATATCTTCTCACATCCACCAGCACAATTTCTATTTTATGTTTGTACTGCCCTCAACCAATTTGGTATTATACCTTCCCTAAAATTCCAACATATTATCAAAGCCAGTTGTTTTCATGAATTGGTCATCAAAAAAGGAAAGGTCACAAATAAAGATTCAAGTTGGCCTTGTGACGAAAAGAGGTAAGAAAAAATATTAGTGGCTAGCAAGCATTAACCAAAGGAAAGAAATTAAATTTTCTCTTCCAATAGATATAACATATTGTGAAAAATTGGTGCTCACCAACTTTTTTTAGAGTGTCAAAACTCATACATATCTTCAATCATGCAATTTATGGTGGGGTGTCATAACAAGTTTCGAAATTTAACAGTCCAGCAAAATTCAAGAGGAGAAGAATGAACAAGCAATGAAGATACTAAAAAATAACACATGAGACGTTTGGAAGCATATTGAAAATATGAAATCTCCAAATCAAGTATGACAAAACCTTGAATTTATTTGTCAAGATCATGTGAAGCAATCTTTTGCAAATGATTGTTAGTTACAAGATCAACAGGTGGATTGGGAATTCCAACATGGTGGTGAACTTATCCAATGACAGGCAGTCATGTGGTCACTTAATTCATATTTTTCTTGAAAAAAAACAATCACATGTCCCCTATTATATATAAACGCACAGAATTTACAAACAAATCCTCTAAAAAGCCAATCTTAAGCTACAATACTCGACAAACAATTATATCCAAAACCTATCAGTCCAACCACAAATAAAATTCATATGTTGAAGTACATGTCAAAAGGCTCTCTCTCTCTCTCTCTCAAAGAATACAAGACTATGAAAATGAGAGAGAGATTTTATCACTCTGTTATATTAAAACAGAGCTTTGCCTCATCCCAAGGACCATTGATCTCAAACTTGTACTCCTGAATCCTTATAAGCCAACAAGGACACACCACAGTAATAAAAACTAACAAACTCAACAATAGCACAAACAGAAATCTGTGCAACTGATAAGCAAAAGCCAATGTCACAGACATTAGCCCCAACGAGAAGAAGAGGTGCAACCGAAATGAGTATTTCTTGATACAATATGTTACCAATGGAGCAAAGAGGAAAACTTGCAAGGAGAACAACACGATAGCAAAAACATGAAGCCTAGATGGAACGCGAGAAGCAATCAAAAGAGAGGCCACAATAGAAGCATTTAAGGAGATATTACTCGTCAAGGTTGGATGTTCTAGAGCCCCAGGAACTTTAACAGTAGAACCCGAGTAGTCATGTAGGAAGAGATGGAGGATGATAAGTGAAACCGTTAGAGCCCATATGGAGTCGGAGCTTATAGACTGGGTAAGAGTGTGGTAGATAGGAGATAAAACATATAACCCAGTTATAAAAAATGAGATTTTGAAAACGTAATTGAGAAGTTGTTTTAAGGAAAGCATTTCTGAAGTTAAGAGTAGAACAAAAAAACCTAATCCGAGAAGGCTTGCATCAAGAAGCAAGAGAGAATTTTCATTAATGGACGACCCAAGTGTACAGGTCCAAACCAAGACAACAAGAGTGACAATGCATAGATACTGTGATATGGAAACAGAGTCAATCATCACCTTTACCATTTCACGTCTGACAACATTGGCGTTCATAACCATATCTTCAAGGAAAGATTCATCGGTGTGATTGTCATCAAACCCAAGTTGCATCCCTCCATATGCAACTTTTCTCCATTTGGGTTGTGTTGGTGACAAGTTTCCATTGATCTCCGTCTCCATCACCAGCACTGCAACAACTATGACCACATTGTACTCGAGATTTTCAACGACAATCGAATTTCAAGGAATCTCTGATTGAAGAATGTTTCATTAACCCTGTCCAATTGAACATGCTATTAGGGTCAACGCAACATTTATGAAATTACTATAACAATTATACTAAAATCGTTGCACAGTACTTTTGACATTCATTAACCATCTCACCATCTAAAAGAATATATTAATCAAACAATTCATATTAGTACTTAGAACTCAGAACTACAATCATGACAATTCATATTAATCAAACAATTAGTTTCTAATCATCGCGTAGATCACTGGATTTTTTTAATCAAAGCATCCTACTAAACTAAACCACAATCAATCAAAAATTTTACAATGAACACTACCACCACATAGTTTGTAGAAACTAGAAATTTTGGCCCATAACCACAATAATTCCTTTTCTTTTCTCACCTCATCTCACCATCCAAACAGAGTGTAAACAAAAAAAATGAGGCAAATAATTACACAGGGAATTTCGTTCATTGATATCTCATTATTACATAGAAATTATTGGGCTCTATAATTACATAAAATCAAATTACACAGCAATTACAAATTGGAGGAGAAGAAGAGATTAGAGGGAAATAGGAGGATAATGGAGGAGGTGGTAGATACCTGGAGGCTGTAGCCGCTGTCCGGCGGTGGTTGCCAAAGCCGAAGATCTTCGCCGGAGAAGATTGGAGAGAGAGAGAGAGAGCTTCTTTGTGAACAAGAAAGCAGATAGATTTAGCCGATTAGTCCTAAATTGGAATAATATATATAGCTATTCGTGCACCGGCCCCATATGATAAACCGGAACCGGTTCACCAGGTTAACCTCTCGCTCATATCTATTTGGGTAAGTTATACTTTAACCCTCTGTGATTTGCCTAAAAAACATGGAGCCCCTTATAGTTTCATTTGGAACACTTAAACCCCCCATACTTCATAACAAAGTGCAATTTGCGACAGACATAACTGAAGTTGTAAAAGTTTATAAATATCCCTAGATATTTTACATCCCTGAGTCATTTCCTTTCATTTGACTAATACAGTCTAATGTTGAGAACCCACAAAACACGAAACTTAAAAATTTCACTATCAGAAGAAAAGGAAGAGCGAAGAAACAAATAAATTTCAATATGTTAGCTGATAGATTTCGGGTAATCCATAGAGACGGATCAGAAGGCATAGAGGCAGAGTCCCCAAATTTGTATCATGCAAAACACAAATAGGAATCATAAATCAAAATCTGAAGAGAAAAAAAAAAAAAAAACAAAATCTGAAAAAAAAAAAAAAAAAAGAAGAAGAAGCCATTTTAAGATGGTAGAGACACACGGCGTAAAGGCTGGACGAGCAAATAAGGTTCGGGCAAGGAAGACGATATAGAAAACAAGAGTTGGGTCGTGTGGTTGTTATTCTTGATTAGTTCAAATGCAATAATAGGTTTACAAAACGTGTTGTTTTTATGGTCATGTTTTACCAAATGAAAATGTGAAGGAGCTTCAAGCCTGACTCTTTTTTCCCATTATAATAGTGTATGGTCTTGTTTTGCAAGTGACTTTTTTTACTTTTTTTTTAGTCAAAAAGTTACTAAAAAAAACTAATAAGCCAACCATTCATATTAAAAAATTAAAAATTTTCTTTTCTCTCTACTTTTTGCACATCTTTTTATAAAAAATTAAAAAGTCATCTCAAACAATACTAATTTTTTTTAGCTCATATTTTAGCTAAATAGTTAAAAAATTACTAAATTAACATGTTTCCAAACGAGGCCTAAGTATATAGATTAACCAAACCCATAGCTAACATTCAACAAAACAGTAATAAAATCAAATTTATTTTCTAAAAGCATTACAAGAACCAATCAAACAAGCTAACAAGCAGTTCAAGTATCAAAAAAAATAAAATTGTTCATCTGTTCGAAAACAAATGAATATATCCTTATTTCTTATATTAAACACATAAGGAAACAAAATCTCTTCAATTTTCTTATTTTCATCTTCTTGCATCCCAAACCCTAAAATCCTCATTTTTTCAAGAAAAACGAAGGCGATTATAGAAACATATATATAGGAACACATAGAAAACACAGAGAAAGAGAGGCAGAGAGTGCTTACCAGGAAGAGAGAGATGAAGGCTGTGATTATGGTGTAGAGAGAGAGAGAGAGAGAGAGAGAGAGAAGAAGGGGGTTAGGGTGAACAAATTAACACAACCCACAAGAAGTGAGAACAGAGATAGGTGTATATCTACTTCTCTCTCTCGCTCGCTCGTTCGGTGTGTTTTGTCTTAGTTCTCTGAGATATCGCCACACCCAACTCTTCAAACCCAATCTGGGCAACTTTCGGAAATTTTGGACAAATTGAGTTTAAGGTTCTACAGTGCTGCTGCAGCTAATTATAGGTTAAATGTGATAATCAAAAGTAAAAATTTAGGTTGCGTTTGGTTGTGTTTTGTAAATGTGATTTGAGAGTATGAATTGTATTTTGAATTTGTGTGTTGTAAAATTATGATTTGAGTGTAGAAAATTTGTTTGGTAAAGAGTTTTGAAAATAGTTTTGGAAAAGATGTTTGATTTGAGTGGGGAATTGTTGATGTGATATTTGATATGTGATACAAAAATTTACAACTCATAACTAAATATACAACTCAAAATTATTTTAAAGCACATTAAAAATTAAAAAAATTTCAGAATTTTTTTTTCCCAATTATATAAATCAATTGCAAAAAAAAAAATTTCCTGTACAGCAGAGGACATCCAGGTGGATGTCCCCATGGACGTCCGGGCGGTAGTCCCTAAGGACGTCCGGGTGGTCTTCCCCTGGCCAAAATTTGAACAAAAAATGCGGCTGTAATACAGAGCTCTCTGCAGAAGTTTGAAAAATTGATTCCAAACACACAACCAAACATCATACTACATTTTGAATTCACAACCAAACAGAGCCTTAGTATTTTTTCTTAATTTTTAAATTATTTAAGTTATAAGTAGAAGTTCTATTAAATAATTTGGCACAGATTCTCAAATTAAAATAAGTTATAATCCACATCAAACACCCCCCATTGTTTTATGTTGTTGGGTCTTGATCTATATATATATATATATATATATATATCATAATAAGAATGTTTTGATTATTTGTCATATATTTTTAGCGAGAAAAATTGCCCCACTCATTATTTATGGTTATGCAACACATGCTTTGTTTAAACAAATAATTCCATCGCAAATTGCACTCTAATATGAAGTATAAGGAATTTAAATGTTACAAATAAAATTATAGGGACTTTATAGTTTTAAGGCAAACCACAAGAGATTAAAGTATAATTTACCCTGCTAATTTATAGGAGTTTGTGTTGTGCGGTTCGAGCGATTTAAAAGTAAAATTATAAATTGAATGATGGATTGACGGATTGATGGATTGAAAATTTGTGATTTGGGTTGTTTTAAGCGAATTGACAGATTAAAAAGTATTCTAACCAATTATTAAGAATTTGCATAATATTTTTCATATATGTTATTACTAATTTGTAGGAGTAACAAATTTCACATCTTAAATCTCTCTCGCACTTATTTTTACTTTGGTATTTCATTCGATGTTAAAAAATATATATGTATTAACTAGGGGTGTGCATAATACTGTCGAAACCGCCGAAACCGCACCGAACCGCACCGCCAAGACAAATTCGTTATTATTTGCCAATCGAACCGCCGGTTTTTGGTAAGAAAAATGACAAATTCTAGTGACACTATTATTAATCCGCCGGTTTTTATTTTTCTTCCAAACCGCACCAACCCGCTCCGCTATTAAATAATGTTTTATAAGATTCTAAAAATACTTTTTTACTTAAGTTTGCTTGTTGTTCTATACCTTAGAATATAGTATTGCATTACTGCTCGAGGGGAATTTTATGTATTGTATTTGATCATTGTAACTTCCACAGATGCTTGTAATGAACTGATGGCATAGTCGTTGATATTATCATGTTGTTGCATCAAAAGAAAATTTCGCAAGATGCTTAACATCACGGTATCTCTCGTCTTTTTTTTACTCTTTGATTTAAGTTTTGTAATTTGAATTATATTTTTTATAAACTGCCAATCCGCCCAAACCGTCAAGGCAAATCGGCCATTATTTGCCAACCGAGCCGTCTGTTTTTTATAAGAAAAATAGCAAATTCTAGTGACACTTTTATCAATCCGCCACCCGCCATACGGTTTCTATTTTTCTCTTAAACCGTACCGACCCGCACCGCGCACACCCCTAGTATTAACTATAACGGAGCAGAGCGATTTCGAAAACAGATTATAAAACTTAAAATTTAATTCACAATTAACAAATTGAATGATATAAATTGATACAAATTAATACGATTTTAACAAATTAAACCATATTTTACACAATCCTATTTATTTACAAAGAGAACCAATATTCGGCCCAATTGTGCGCCATCTCAATATTTTTTAATAAATAATAAAATAGTTAAATTTTGTTTGCCAAATAGATTATTTAGCAAATTTTTTGTTTTGATTTAAAATTGGGTTTATAAATAGATAAATCACTACCCATTATTTCCTCGTTGAGCAGTAACAAGGGAATTTGTAGGGATAGCAATGGGGGTTAATAGGGTGGATATTAATTCCTCATCCCCATTCCCCTATAATAAATTTTCTCCATTCTCCATTCCTCATTCCTCATAGGTACCACCCTCCCCCATCTCCTAATGGGTTTGGATTTTCTCCAACCCACTTTAATCCCCATTTTTTTTTTTTTTTTTTAATGTTAACAAAAACTTTTTTTATTTTTTATTTTTTATTTTAGGTTCACAACAAAAGCTAAATATACCTTCTTCTTTTTTTTTATAATATATTTAATGTTAACAAATTTATTTTATTTTATTTTTTTTAAGGTTCACAACAAAAGCTAAAAATATACATTCAATCTTATTTTATTTTATTTGGTTCAATAACAAAATCAAATACACATTAATTAATTAATTAAAAAGTTTATTTTATAATAATCAAATATATAATTTTGAGACAATCAAATAAGTTTTAGTAATTGAAAAAAAAAATGTGGAAGAACGTGGAAGTTTGAAAAAAAAATTACAACCACTCATTTTATTTGCAGCCCACCTAATGACAGCAAGATTGAGAGAAAAATATACACCCGATGTTGTTTTTAAAGTTATAACTCATTTCTCCAAACTTTCTATATCCTTTAATGTCTTTCCATTAACAATAGAGTGATGAAAATATGTCTGGCATACTGGTGTATTAAGTCAAAGTCAGATTGCCTATTCATTGTAAAGTACATTTTCAAATGTTTAGAAGCCAATTTCAGATTAGGAACTTACACAATAAAATATCGCTAGCAATAACCAGATCCCAATCCATCAAACAATTGAGCAACTTTAAAAGACATACAAACGAGGGATCTACTATACCTATCATGTCATATTGTTCATTCCCTAAGTCTAATTTTACAATGAAAAATAAAAAAAGAAATTCCACCAATCATGAGAATGAAGGTCAAAAGCATCAAATCTTATTGATAGTCCTCACCAATATTTTCTTGGATCTATCTTCCTTATCGTATGAAAGAGAAAAAGAACTCACGCTTAATGTGAGGAAGGACGGGAGAAATTCCATTAACTCTACAATTATGAGCTATGTTCTCTGCAATTTCTTGATCATCATAGTCTGAGATAGTGATGTCAAATTCCCTCTTTACTTTGTTTATTTGTGTCTTCACACCATTATGTCCATTAATTCCAATCACTTTACCTTACTAAAAGAGATGTCGGTGTAATTACACTAAAAATATGGGGCTTATTATTTCTTTTCTTTCATTATTTTATTTTATTTTTTCAGATCTTAGGAGAATGGATCCATTCTTTTATTAGTTTTACATGAACAGAGGAGCATTAGCCAATTCAACAGCTGATCAACACAACAAAGTGAAAATTCAACAGTATTGATCAATAATTGATGAAAGTAAAATTGAAAGATTGGATTAGTACCTGAAACAATCCCTAAAATCCCAAGACTCTCTCTCTCTCTAAAAACCCCTATTTCTGTCTCTACAAGCTAAAAGGGATCAACTTTCCACTCAACATTCTCTTTTCTCTCTCTTCTTATTCAATGGAAATGTTAAAACACTCATTTTATTTTGACTATATAAAGCAACCAATCATCAAAACAAAGATAACCTATTTGCTTAAAAACTTAAGGAGTAGCTATATTGATCTTTATTATT